AAATAAGAAAGGCCCAGCACAGCCACATTTTCATATTAACTGCATGATGTTTAACATCTCAAGTTATATGCCCCAAAATGAATATGCTACGTCCATTGCTAAAAAGCTAGCATGCATTCGTTGCTGTGCAAGCGTATATTCAACTATAAAATGATATATATATATATATATACACTTGATTTGTGCAATAAATATAGACTATTTTTATTGATTACTGTTCGCAATATGAATGGGCAAAATTCTTATTTTATCTTTCAGTCTGTATATTCGAGCGCGTATTAGCGACTTACACACTTTTATATAACCACGAAAGCGAATTAATTTACTGAAAGTTATTTCTATTTTTCCTCCCCCGATTACGTAACTTTAGTCAAGTCGAGTTTATTTTTTCGAGCCAGTAAAAAATGAGTCACACATACAAATTTCGAGAAGAGAAAAGTAAGATAACCGCAACAGTTTCACGGGGAAAGGAAGCCGCCAAGGAACCAAAGCTGACTATTCTGCAGCGAGACTCAAGGTTCTGATATCTAATTGAAAAGATCCAAATTTAAGTTGCGCAAATACTGTTATTGTCGTTGAGTACCGTAAGGTTTTGCCGAAAGTTCAAACTAACATCTCTCATTGAAGATAGATAATTTTAAAGATTGTAATTGAAGAAGATAGGACCACCAGAAGAACGGGTTATTCCTAGCGCTTCAACTGCATTACTAGAAGCGACTAGGGTTCCATATAGCGATTGTCAGAACAGCGACTATCATAATGGCGACGTAATAATAGCGACGTAATCATGTTGTTTCAAAGTCCCTTTTGGTTTCAATCTTTCACTACGCAGTGCTTGTCTGTTTGTGCGTGCGCATACGTGTGTAGAGAAGACCCTAACCCTAACACGAGTAAAGTCGCTATCATAACAGTCGCTGTTTTAATGCAGTCGCCATTAGGACAGTCGCTGTTTTGACAGTCGCTATACGGCCTGGATACCTTGCCACCTACTTGGTTGCAATGGGAAGTGTTTGGCGACATGCAATGATAGAGAAAAGTAGGTATATTAAATCAAATAAAATTAAGTTGACGCACTGCATAATATAATACATAAATTTCTTTTCTGCCTGAATAGCTGTGTTGGGCTAAACAATGGTAAATTCAGTGAAAAATAAGCGTTAAGAAACGTTAAGAAAAATTCTCAACTCTTCGAAATCTTTCTGTTGGTGTCTCAGATACTGCTTCAAGTTTGATTGTATAACGTACATTTTTAGACATGAAATGTAAATTCATTACAGATACCTTGTTCAATTAAGGATGGCAATGATATTATCTTGGTCCGAGTCATTTTCGACTTCACTCGGTATTTTATTTACGCCTGGGCCCACTGCCTTGCTCTGAACTTACTTACATAAAAAAAAAAGTATAAATCGGCAATTCCTGAAACTACATTTAGTGAATCTACTAAAAAGTTTTCCTCTGGTCTGAATATATTTAAACACCTATCCCAGAATTCTCGATATGGTGCAGAAATCTAACTACAGTTATAGATAGTTATAAAAACTGCTTTCGGCGCCAAAACAGTTAGCCCCCGAATACCATGATGCCAACGTAGTCTAAAATAATGTGACTGTGGCGACGTGAACATCGGATATTCTACAAAGATACATACAACAGCAAATTGAGACACATTTCTCATAAAACAATCGATGTATCACGTCTCTGGCGCAACGTGAGGACCGATGCACATCCTAGATAATGTATTCATATATATAATCATTCATCATATTGTCTATATTCATCTCATACATGCACAATTAAGATATTATGTTATAGGACTCAGGGGTCACCAAACTTTTTTGACCGCGGGCCGGGTATGACTCAAATTGTGTTGAAACCGGCCGGATGAATATTTTTGGACACGAAATGGACATAACGATCGTTTCAATATTATGTCGTTGTTGTTGTTGTTGTTCTTTGACACGTTTTTAAAAAGTCGCTTTTCTCTTCGAATACTGGACCAATTGCTTTGAAATTTTCAGTGGTTAAAAATTAATTTTTTCGCTAGAAGGCTATTACTTTTATTTATTTCAAAATTTTGCGTGAATTCTATGAAATTTGATATTTCGTCTAAAATTTTGCTGTATTATTTTTTATCCATGGGAACACGGATTTTAGTCAGTGTCATGACTGGCTGTACGTTTTGATTCTGCAAAATTCTTGCTACTGGAAATTCAGAACTTTTTTGAGGGTACCGGTAGCGTCAAAGGTACCGGTAAGGACTGATTCGCTCTGGTCTAACGTGTCCATATATTTGTGCGTAGCTCTCTTGTTGTCAATGCAATACAATAAATTCACAAATGTTGGGAATATCGCAGAATATAGAACGAGAACATCCTAGGAAAAAAATTAACAAGATTTCTATATCTAGACAATTATCCTGAGTTTAGCTGTTATCAAAACGTTGCTGTCATGAATTAGAAATGTTACAAAATCCTCGGCAAAAAATGTACGCATCACGTCTGCTCGTAAATATATACTACTACGGTCTGCTAAGTACCGTTACGCCGAGTTGAATTACCTCTCATAAAAACGACTATCTGCTGTAGCTTGGAATTCTATGAAATTTTGACATAATTTAGATAAAATAACACAACTATTTCTGGTATTGATTTTTTTCATTAGCCCATAAATTTCCCAACATTCGACGCTTTTAAAAATTACGCTCCAGTTATACGTAGTGCAAATTAATGATATTGTCTATGGACACCAATAAAATGTATGTGGACGTGTGTATTTCTTTCCTAACTTGATACAGTTTTTATGAAGTTCGTACAATCAGCACATCGTTAATTATTACCCACAATGAAACACTGTCAAACTATCATGCACAACTCCAGCGTTTATTTGCGACGATCTTTCGGCGGTGTCAATGACCGTTGCCAGAATAAAAGTCTGAAATAGTCTCAATATACCATAGATGTGACGCACATCGAAAGATTAGTGATTTATATGTGTTATTTTTCCATATTTAGTTCAGTTCTTATCAAAAAAGTAATACAATCATTATGGAAAAAATTGGCCTGTCGGGCGGTACTAAAATTCCGATATCTCCGTTATTTCTTGACCGTTTATTATAAACTTGGTATTGTTTTCTATTTTTACTCATATCTTTCCACTGGAGCAGTTTTTATTTAAATCGGATGGACTTCAATTTTTTTGTAACATACCTACATGAATATCCGCATTAAAGCAGTACAAAAGTTAGTGTGGCTTTTGAAATTGGAACAGTACGCGAGGGATTACAGTACTGCACAAAATGCACATTCGACATTTATTTTAGCACAAAAAACAAACAGTTTCGTCGAAAGCACGCGCCACGAGTCTACAAGTGTTTCGCAGAAAACGTTACGTACTGGTAGCATTCAAAGTCGCAAAAACGAAGTTTTGTTTACAACCACGACTGAAAATCTGTCAGGGTGACAAAAGTGTCTGAGCGGACGCGGAAAGGCCTATTACGTCACTTTTTTGCATCTTGCCGATTGGCCAATGTTACGAAACAAAGACGACGATGCTCGTGAAAATCTCCCTTGGAAAAAAATTTAGCCATTTTTGTGTGTTATTGCGGACCGGATAAAATGACGCCGCGGGCCGGATAAAATGACGTCGCGGGCCGGATCCGGCCCGCGGGCCGTAGTTTGGTGACCTCTATTATAGGTGTATGTGCCACTTGCGAATTTCCTCTTGCTTGCTACCTACTATATCACGCTATATGCTCTGTACCTGTCAAATGTGAGCAGCCACCTTCACACACTCTACGTGGGTTACTAATCAGGCTACTCTTATTGGTGACAGCCATACCACTCTACCAGTTTAGAGATCTATATGCTTATGATCCACCAGCGCGGGCGAAATTAGAGATAAAACGTAATTTACAATAAACAATTAATTTTTTTTTTTTTTGAAAAACTCTCAATGCATGATATTTTAAAATAACGGAGGAAGAAAAAACAAACTATCATAGTACGGTAGATTTGAATATGCTCAATAATCACTGGAACAATGAGCTAAACACGATAAATGGAATGAGAATATCAATGTGTGCCAATAACAGATAAAACTATTGCTTTAGTATAGGGGTGTGCAAATTGCGGCCCGCTGGCCAAATGCGGCCCACAAGGAAAAATTGTGCGGTCCGCGAGTTTTTAATTTAGTTCACTTTGGTACGAGCGAGTAATTCAAATCTCTTTGCGTTGCAAAGCATATAACCGAATCGCAGTTATTATCCATGCTTAGGACGTTACAACAGCTAGCATGTGCGAAGCGAATTTTTGTGACTGCAACTACTAGAAAGCTTATTTTGAATAAAGGTGCGGCCGCCCCCGATTTCACCCAGGTATTTGTATCTGGCCCTTCTGTATTGAAGGTTGCACACCCCTGCTTTAGTACATGATTATATTTCTACTTCTAACTGTAGTAACTGGCACGCCATAAAATATGTACTCTAATGTCCACAGGCCAAAAACAGTGAAAACTGGCTATTTCAAATAATGATGAACGAATTAACAAAATTGCTGAATAAACGTGTGCGTGCTGGTATAACCAAAATTTAGATTGAGTTTTTGTATTTAAAAAAGACAATGAATGACTAAATAGATTTTTTAGTATAGTCTTTGCATACGTGCAGATAAATGAAAAAAACGACCTGATGCTGTTTTCAGGCCGTAGGAGTGTATCCTTCAATTTCACATATAATGAATTACTTGTGTAAGATTAGGGTGCAAATTTTGGACGTAATGTGAATTTTAATCAACAAAAAATTTAAACTCGATGTAAACTTTTATATACCGGAAGCACCAACTTTGAATCTCAAAACGGATGCCAACTAATTTGTTACATAACAACGTCTGAAGGTTCGGCGAACGAATGCATTCATTTAACCTTTACACATGTAAAAATTAACTTTTGTTGACATGCTTAAGCGTAGTTTCATAGTCCTTGTAATGAATCAAATAAGCGAATATAAATATATTTTTATTTATAAATATATTTTTTCACACTTGGAAAAGCGTGGCAACACGCAATTCAAACTTGTCCTAAAAGCTTTTCAGCGTATTTGAGTCTTCTTCGGTAGATTTCTGTGGAACTTTTTCTTTGACACAAAATCGTAAAACGTATCTAACTTTTTCAGGTATCCAGTAAAAAATTGTGATCAAAAACGGTACCATCAAATTTTGGTCGACTCCTAATCTTTGTTGCCAGCCGCCTGAAAGTACAAAAAAAATAATTCGATGTTTTGGCAATTGTTGACAATTTGCTCATATATTAGGAATTTTATTTGGAAGAAATTAAAAATCATTAGAATAGTCGGTGTCAAAACTGAGAACTGAGAGGTTAAAAATTTATTTTGATGTCTTTAGTTAAAATAATTGTCAGTAGGTTTTGATTATGCCAAACATTTTGAGTTTCCATTACAAGGTGTACGAGAATGTCATATACAACTTACCATGTTTTACGTTAAAATGGTGAAATTATACAAATGCCAAAGTAACGTAATATATTTCTCTTTTTCACAATATGATCTCAACTAAGCAGTACAAAACAATTATTTTCGATCCCCTTTTTTTACGAAATTAATTTCAATGTTTCCAAGATTGCACTAAGTTTGGCCAATCACTGTCGATAAATTACCTGTTAAGAGTCCAAAGATCATTCCAAAAATCATCGTGGATGCCATTCCGATACAAGTTACATACAAATAAGAAATTTTGTAAAATTCTGCAATTGCTGGCTCCATCACTGCGGTGTTGTTGATAGAGGTAAAAGGTGAAGTTATTTAAGCGTGGTTACTTCTAGAGGAATAGTCTCTGCTGTTAAATTTGCAATGTCTGTTGCTTCCTTGAATGTTGGCAATAAGCAGGACAGTTTGTCATTTCACGTGGCAGTTCTCTTGTAAACTCGGGCCCGGCTTTATACGTCTGGCTGCCAACAAACATCCACGTGGAAATTATTAGTCCTCCAACAAGCCCGATAAAAGCACCCTACAAACAAAAGACAATTTTGAGGCCCTTTCATTTTAAAATACCGAGACTGATTCTGTAATAAATGATAAAAATAGAATTGAACGAGGTCTTCTGATTACTTACAATTGAATTGCAGAATGGGATGTAAACTCCGAGGTAAATAATCCAATCATAGGACCACCAACCAGACCTAAGATACTGTATGCCGCCTGCAGTATTCCACCAAGCTGTGATGCCAGTACTGCTACACCAATAGTACACAGACCGTAAAGAATCACCAATCCTGTAATATATTGTATGTGTGAGAATTAGAATATATATGTATCGGTCGGTACACGAATACAAACGACTGTTGGTAACACGCTGTAACACCGATTACTTTTAAATGTAACAAAACCACGGCTAAAATGAAGAAATGGCTATTTTTCGTCGATAATAGCATCTATATGTCGTCTCGTATCATCCGTGGAAATTGAAATTATTTAGTAGCTATAATTTCCAACACGTACATATAATTACTTTATACAACTCAAAAGAAGTTATTATATGTCAAAAAATATCACAAAAAAAACAGTCTGACAAGAAAGTTAACAAGGATTAATATCAACAATCGGATTTAAGGATTCTTCAAACGTGTCGAAGCTCACGAAAAAATACAAAAACTATTGCTGATTGCTTGGGAGTATTATAAACAAAACATTAACAGAGTGACCCACAACATCCATATATATTAAAATACTATTATAACTTAGTTAACTGATAGAAACAATTCACCTTTGGTTATCCACATGTAAGTCCTTTCACTCAAATTTGAGCAAGGTTTAACAAAATCTTCAATAGAAACAGTCGCCATTGCATTGATTCCAGACGAAACAGTACTGAAAAAAATTATGATAACCATTAACCACCAACTCGACTCTCAGGTACTGATACCTCGACTTGACTTGGGGTTGCTAAAATTGAAATTTGCCCAGACTGACTTGAAGTCAATGTCTTTTTAGCAAGACGTCTTGGCCTTGAGGTTAATAAAATGACCCCAAATTCTGCAAGAATTTTTACAGAGAGGTAGAAACACTATTTCATATTCATCAAAAAGAAATGACTGATTCTCACCTCAAACTTCCAGAAAATACGCAGGCAACAAAAAGTCCTGGAACGCCAGGGTAATCATGTAAAATATCCAAGACTAAGTACGGAAAAAGCTGAAATGAAAATAAAAATTATTTACTCTATTTTGTGTTGAGTAAATAATGCTTATAAAGTCTTCGAATTTATTGACGTAATTAGGTTGGTGCTCACCTGATCTCTCTTGGCAACACATCCTTGTGTTATTGGATCACAGGTTGAATATCGAGAATATATTATAAGACCAGTCATGCAAGCGAGGCTGACGAAAAAATAATCCCAGCACGTTGATGCAGAGAGCCCTAGAAAAAACTGTCTGCAGTTTTGACTATAATCTTTGTATACATAACGAGGAGTTACTTTGATAAATTACATTTAAAAAATCTTGAATGCAGCACAACTATAATTAGATGTTCTATTTTATTGAATTTGCTGGTTTCAATTTTTTTCTTAATATTGCTCATGTATAGTGAGTAATTCACTCCAGTACTTGAAAAAATAATAATTAGTTAGATAAATCAAGATAGATTTATTATATCATATTAGAATAAGCATAATTACTGAGATGCTCGTTTTCTAGATTTGCAGCATAAATATCTTTGAACTTGAGATTGATTTACACCATATATGCTAATCCACAGGATGGAGCCACCGACCATCAGACTCCAGAATGAGTGTCTGATACGCAGGTCCGTATCAAATCTGAACAGTGAATTATAAAACTTATGTACGTACTGAATCAATGCTTTCTTCGAAATTGGAGAACAATGCCTGGTCTGAATTTTTACTCATATTAATATATATATATGACAGATTTTTAATTCGAGTGAAAAGTCTACAAGAAAATCAATCAATTATTCAGTATTTATTTGTCAACACAATATAGACACACCATGAAAACTATTGCTGGGCATTCAAGCTGGATTTTTTGCATTTGAGAGAGATTTTCTTGTAAAACTCAAAATCAATTAGTTAAAATCAATCATTTCCAACAATTAAGTCAACCTATTGCTGGTCATTCAAGCTGGATTTTTGGCAATTGAGTAAGATTTTCTTGTAAAACTCAAAATCAATTAGTGAAACTCGACTTAAGAACAATCCGGTACCATCAGTAACGAGTGTTACCAGCAATTCAGTGGAAGATCACAAATAATATGAACATTATTAGCCCGATGATAGAACCCTGAGTGAAGCCGCATTGTACAGTCGCATGTTGATAACATTATGATTCTATTTTGACATATTGCTAACGTTAATTCAAAAATTCATAGAGGAATGCATGTCCGCGAATAGCCTATCCTACTTATTATTATGTTGCAGCCAACAATGCCAAAATGCCTTTTAAATGTTGAAAAATATTGCACTTATAATATGTAGCATGTATATTGAACAATTTTACAACTATGGTTAGTTGGAATAAAAAACGGTTTGTGGGAAGGGGGAACTGAGAATAAACCATAATAGGTTAGTAATAATAGTATATTTTCTAATAGTTTACGACGTACATGACTTTGAACTTACCGTAGAAAATCAATTCTTCCTCCTTCTTCACATTTTCTCCAGACATTACCGAATCCACCTTCCAATTCACTTCCTTTTATAATAACAGCAATAAATCCAGCACTCATGACTACACCTTGAAATACATCGGTCCATAAAACTGCTTTTAGTCCTCCCTAATGAATTAAAATGTGAATTTTTTATTAAAGCACAGATACATTATGAAAACTAAACATCATTATATTTTAAACTTCTGTTAAGATTATGTTAGCCAAAGGTTAGTAAAGTTAATTATATAGATAAAGTAAGGCCGAAGATAACACGCATTATACTTACTTACTAAAGTTGTGTAAAAAGTGCATACAAGACCGGTTGTAAATACTGCCATCCATAGATCAAATCCTGTCACTGAAATATCAAAACAAAGAGAATTAGATTTATTTGTACCTAACCACTTGAGTGACGTTAACAACTAATACCGATTGAATAGCATCAAAAGTAAACACTACAAAATACGTTTACTGTACCCTTTTTTTTAAAATTTTGGCTCAACTCTTAGCTTACTCATCAACAAGCAATTCAGCATACAAAAATATGATTTAGCTCCTAGGATGGTCATGTTCCTGCGTATGATTAATGAAAGATGAGCGCATAATTCATGTTTCAATAGGTTCAATCATAATCGATAGCCATGTGTGCTTTGTAAGTAAAATTTGATTAGATAAATTGGCATTTTAACACAGCATAATCTTCTTTCGTGTGTTATTTGAAAAAAATCTGGCATACCTTCGTTCAAAGCAAGTGCTGGTCCATAAATCACTATTCCGATGTACAATACACTCTGGATAAGATATGAAACTGTTCCCAATATTCGACTGATCTGTTGAATCTCAGTTCTAGATACTAAAAATGAAACATTTTGTGAGCAATTTTATGTTGAATTTTTGATGCCTTGTGTGATATAAATTCGAATCTGCCAAATAAATCAATGTCGAAATTAATTTCGAATAACATCATATTCAGTTGATAGAATGAAAGAATAGAATTGATTTATTGACAGCATTTTATTCTGTGTTTGCTGTCACTGGTATTGTTTGGAGTTGAGTTCATGTTGCGGTTCAGGTATCAAGACAAAAATTATCTGAATTGGTAGAATGCCGAAAGCGCTTGTTTTATGAGGTTCGTCTGCGTGTCTGATGTCCTGAGCCGAGTTGGGCAGGTATGTGTATTAGCTTATGTGATAAACAGATAAAGAATAACATTCAGGTCGCATACAATAATAACTTTAGTAATAGTATATTATTTACCTCGTACGTGCTCGTGATACCAGCGAGTAAAACAGAGGAATGTAAACTTCAGATACGACACCTGCAACAATGATGAAGACAGCGGCGATCCTGAGGTATTTTATAAAGAACAGTTTTATACATACTTACATACCGAGCACCTTGATTCACGTGACCCCGTTTTAGCATGTCCCAATTATTATTGTCGGACTATCGCCCAGGTGGTGGCGTTTCGGTTGTTTCATATTATATCTGTTTTAATCCATGCATTTCTGCTGGAACGGAGCTTTGCATCACACGGGATTTTTTGAAGATTTTACAGACTTGGCGATAATACTTATTCATGAAACGGCACTGCTACACAATGGTATTGGTGTTTTTATATTTATTATTTTATATATTGATTTCATAAGCATGCTAATAAACCAAGTACAGTATTAAAGCTAGTAATAATTGTCAAACGCATAATTTAAATAAATGCTATCATAGATTTCTACCTATAAACACATTATAAAGGAATGCGTTGATTTTATATTTTTCCCATTAACCAAACCTTCCTGATATGTATTAAGGGGTTATTGTTGTTGTTAACACCCTTCGTCCGTCTGTGCTTGAAGACCCAAGAACACCGCGGGGGTATAAGGGATCAGTATGAACTATTTGCTTCTTTCTCGGGGACATAAATTGAGAAGAAACTACACCATGCATTTACGATAGCCCAAACGAGCTTTACATCTCGATAATTTTACAAGACAGAGCACACTCACCACCAAAACATAGTTCCGTGCCAATATATTTCAGCTGGAGTGCCAAGTACTGTGATAGCGGAAGTAAAGCTAACAGTGAGTGACGCAGCTACTGGTCCGATTCCCATTGATCTGGAAGGCAAATAATTGTAACAGACATGAATTACTCAAGCATTAAAAAATGTCCATACCTGCTTCCTAGGAATATCCTTCTGTACCAGCCTCAGATCTTCTATCTTTAATCGCATAAAATATTCCGATAGCAGCAGATAATGCCAACATTACACCAAAAACTCCATAATCTGCATTGCTGAAGGTTCGCTTTTCCATGGTGAGAACCTTAAGTATTCTAATCCCTTGCCGGTTCACACATGCCCGAGAAATATAAAACCAAAAAATAACTTTTTTTGACTATCACCGAATCGAGTCGACATGTTTGTGTTCATTTTATAGTCTACTTTGAAATTTTTTCCCGGGAAGAATTTTGTAATTTAGCTTTTGAATTTTATGATTGATTTATTATATATAATTCTTCATATCGGCTATCTAGAGGCAATTTTGCAAAAGTTGTTCGGCCAAAGTTCTATGATTTGATGACAACACATTTGCACTCACGCACATTTGTACCCGTGAACTCCACCCAGGAATATGCACCTACATGATTTTGCACCCATACATTTCCATTCATAGATTTTAGCACCCGTAGATAGATTGCATCAGCGGACATTTTCACCCATGTCAGCATATAGGGACATTTGCCCCCACGAGCATTTGTACACATGGACATAAGCACCGCGTATATTTGCATCCACGGACATTTACACCCTGGAAATTTATCGTCACGGATATTTGCACCCTCCGATATTTGCACTCCGGAGATTTGCACCCGCGTGCATTTGCACACATGTACATTTGCACCCACGGACATTTTCACCCGCAGACATTTGCACCCACGGACATTTTCACCCGCAGACATTTGCACCCACGTACATTTGCACCCTCGGATATTTGCACTCCGGAAATTTGCACCCGCGTGCATTTGCACACATATACATTTGCACCCATGGGCATTTTATTACCACTTACGATTGTCCTCATGTACATTTGCACCCACGTACAATTTCAGTTCTGTACATGTGCACCCACGTGCTTTTGCACCCACGTGCACTTGCAGCACTTACCTTTTACGCGTATGCATTTGCTCCATAAACATCTTTGCCGTAGTTATTTTGCAGTTGAATATGTTTGCACTTGCAGACACGTTCGCTCGCAAATAACTGTGTTTCAGACAATTTCAATATTGGAAATGAAGAAAGATAACAAATTGTAAGTAGCCCATATTCTTGGTGAAGGTAGCTGCGTTTTTTCAGTCATAAAGTAAAAGCTCTTTTACCTCAGAAGCTGATTTCCATGGGTTTAAATCTTCACGAATGCAAAAATCGATAGAAGAAAATGTACATAAGTGCGAACACCTGCGGGTGCAAATGTATGGGTACAAATGTCCGCGGGTGAAAATGTCCTTGGGTGCAAATGTACATGGGTAAAATGTCTATGGTTGCAAATGTCTGTAGGTGCAAATGTTCCATTGGTGAAAACGTTCATGGGTGCAAACGTGCATGGGTGCAAATGTCCAAGGGTGAAAAAAGGATACGGTCATGATAGAAACTGGACATGTACAGGCAAAACAAAATATACACTGTGTCTTTCTACAATTCATAAATATATTTTAGTAGCGGATTTGAGTGACTGACATCTATCTAATATGCTATAATTTGAAGAATGAAATCGACACAGTGATCGCCCAGTCCAGCGGATAAGACCTCAAATATGATGGAATTGTTCACTTTTAAATGCAAGCATGAAACTTAGCACACATGTACATCAGCATCCCCTGATCAATTTTGGATATGGTGCCATCCAAGAAAATACCCCGTTGCCGTCAAAACGAGGCATCATTCGTATTGCTATATAAGGGAAATAAACATTACTTTAGGAAAGGATATTTTCAAGTTAAGTAAACCGATGTGTATATAAGAAGTGAATAATATGATCAGAAGTGCATTCCGACAATTTCCCTTGATAACAGAATACCTGTTACCATGGAAACAAGGTATCGTTAGCGACCAAACACGATTATAAGTCGCCCAACCTGCATTTTCTGTCATTGTCATGGATCACGAATTAAGCTACATTCACTTTCAAAATGTAATTCCTGTTGTGCTCAACATGAACTGCCATCGCCAATGGTATACTTTCAAACTCATAGCCCACGTAAAGCTGGTGAAAATATAAAATATATACTTCATAACTGACGGATTACTGTTATCTTGGAGCTATCATATTGTCATCACATAATACACAAAAATGAATAAATACAGAATATGCGAATAACTGCACACACACACACACACGCATGTACACCGATGTCGATAAGCTCAACTCTGTGGGCGTATTTTCAATGAAATCGCCACAACCTCTGCGCTATTCTCCAAGCCCCCGCCGAACCCGCGCGTATCTAAGGGTTAAAACGAGAAGCGCATTGATAATTCATAAAGGGATGCTAATTTTGCGCGAGAAAGGGATCATTGTGGTGTGTACGGAGATACCAATACATGCATCACAATAGTGTCATCGGCAGGGAAAGAAGATGCTTTTTGTTGTTAGGTTATGCGGGCATGTGGTTATGTGCTCTAGTCATCCGTTCCCAAACTTCCGACTGCATTGAATTGCGGATAAAAGCGTTTGTCAATTGTTTGAGGAAATAGGGATATTATATGCCTCAACGCCATACTGAGGATTCCATACTGAAATATTCTTCCCCACAAATGCCTATCAATTCCCGAATACAAAAATCAATAGGAAAAAAAGGTACATAGGTACTAACACCTGCGGGTGCGAATGTACGTAGGTGTAAATGTCCGCGGGTGCAAATGTACGTGGTTGCAAATGTCCATGAGTGCAAATGTACATGGATACAAACGTTCATAGGTAAAAACGTCCGTGGGTGCAAATGTTCATGGTATAAGGGGTATACACGTCCTAATTGAAACTTGACATATTTTAAGGCAAGACAAAATATACACTGTTGTTTTCAACAATTTCTAAGCTATATTTTAGTAACGGATTTGAGTGACTGGGATTGTTCTTCGAAGCTATTGTGAACGAATAATGAACATGAAATGCATGTAAACAAACAAACGTAAACATAAATAACTTATTACTTGGCAGATACTTAAATAATCCCGAGAGATTGCCCAGAGGAAGAATATAATTAGATTTGGCACCATTATTCATCACCGACGCCAATAGGTCCATTTACTCATAGATTCTTTTAGCGTATGTATATTGACTATGGAGACCTTTGTTATTCATGGTTGTTCCTGATATCACATGCCATTTCAACGATTTCTATGAGCAGACGAAATGCGAATTTATGTTTTTGTTTTAGGTTATTGATCGAATCGGATGCAAAACTACTATGTTTTTCTCTAGGATGTTCATCAATAACAATTAAACTTTCCCTAAATCAAAATGTTATATTCCTGTATTTCTTACTTTTGACTCAAAGGATCCTACATATGAATAATTCTGTGTTTCACTAACTAAAATGAATCCCTTTAAAATCAAAATCATGACAAAGACCAAATTTTAGGGAATCGAAACTATTAAAAAAATATATTAAATTTATGAAAATGAATTCGCTGATTTAAAATGTTCGCAACATATCAACTGTGTGAGTTGTATCCTCTTTTAAACGCAAGGTATCGCAAGAAATAACGTATCCCTAGAACCCTGATGGCAAAATAAAACAGCGTTACATAAACGGTGCGTAATTCTTCACCATTTCTTTATTGTTATAGGGGGAGGATTTCGGCTTTTACTGGAATAGGGAAATAAAACTTCAATAAAATGAATATTTCGAACCGTCAATGGTTCTTATTGCTATAGTAAGATACTATCATAAAACTGTTAACAAATACAGTTTTGCGTTCAAATCTTTCATCTACATTTCTAGGTACCCATCGCCAATTTCTGGTGACCGTACATTTGAACCCATGCGTATATCCACGGGTTCAATCTATATGCTGGTGCTAAAACCCATGGGTTAGGGTGAGTATAGGTTTACCTATCCGTGGAACAAAAAAAATTCCATAGGTGCAATAGCATACAGGTGCAATTGTCATGGGTTCAAATGTACGTGGGTTCAAATGTAATGGAACCCCAATTTCTATTTCATATTGCTCTTTACTGAAAATAGTATGATTACAACGCCCAATCTATTCACAAGTAGATTTTCTAAGCTTTCTGGATCTTTAGCGAATTTTTAGTCTTGTTTTAAGGAAACTATCCAATACAAAATAAGTTATTTGGATATATTATGCTATAATTTGAGCAATGACGCTGATCACGCTGATCGACAATAAGGTCATACACAAAAACGAATGAATACTGAATATGCAAATACTGCACACACGCATACAAAAAATTGCACCGCTATCGATAAGCTAAACTCTGTGGGCGCACTCTTAATGAAATCGCCACGAAATTTGTATTTTTATGTTCCATTTAATTTGATAATTCGGTAATGTAATTGTACCCAGAGAAAATATTTCATCATTTATTCAAGATATATTCGCATCATAAAATGCAGATCTAAGACCCGCTTAATTTTTAGTCTAAACGTTGAATATTCGTCAAAAAACCTTGCCAAGTATCCAGGTATTATCTGAACAGCAGAAAATAAATAGTCCTGAAATAAATGATACATGTCTGCTCAAACTTTAGTAGCTAATTTACAATTTTCCAAATTCCTTAAAAAATGGTAATTGTGAAGCCACTGCTACCGTTGCAAATAAAGTTTATCACGCTACCCTTTGGAGTGAGACAAAAACTTCTAGTCAAGACGCACGATATTCGGCTCGTTAATTTTGGACCAGTGGTTCTTAACTTATGCCAGCCTGCCGAATCTCCACGCTTTTTTCCAAGCCTCCGCCGAACCCATTCGTATCGAAGTCTTCGTATCAACTATGCGGGTGTTGGTTGCTCTAGTCTAGAGAGTCTAGACCAGGGGTGGCCAACCTTTCACATACCATGCGCCACGTTTTAAACATAATGTTTCAGATGCGCCGTAAATCTCTTGTATTCCCACGCCTAATGTCCGCTTCTTGTTGAAATTATATAAATTTATAATACACACACATATATACACACGTATATGTAGTTTTTACAATTTACAACTTCACATGAATAGAAATTGAGCAAGGAAGTATAATTAAACAAAACTGATCAATTTTGTTTAAGTACCGCCTTTATGAGACTTTTGCTGCTGTTTTACTTTCGCCAGTTTTTTTATTCTTGGAGTTAATGTTGTTACTGAGAAGAGCAGTGCATTCTTCAAATTTAAAACTGTAAGTCTTGACCTCGCTTGGCTTTTATTTAGTTTCATGGCAGAAAATGTTTGTTCACATCTATATGTCGTTTCGGGAACGACATATGAAACCCTGGGCAAATTTTCTCAGTTCTGGAAAATTTTCACGGGGTAACGATTGCCAGAACTTAATAAAGCTGTTTTTAACAACGAAGAGAAAAAGGTACGATTAAGAAGTAAAGTTAGGCGTAATATTGTGACAACAGGCCTTTAGTATCAATATCTAATCTACTCTACCCTCGATTCTAATTAGCCTTTGCTAATCAGCTGTTTGGCCTAGCGTCGCGTGATTTTACTCCAGGCTTCTTCGAGATTAGTACTTGCGTCACAGCAAGCAATTTTACGCTTCGCTTTTGTTGACAATGGTCATTTGAAGTTTGGATGAAAAATGCGGTATTTAGGGGTCATTTTCAGCATGTTGTGGGTTGATTTATAATAAATTTTTTAGGCTTGGGCAATTCAACTGGTTGGTCAATGGTT